TCCTTGGACTACCACCTATATGATTTTTTTACAAAACTTAAATTTATCCATGTCAATATTATCTAAGTTCCTAAGCTATCATGGAAGGGGTTAAGTACAGCTCAACAGCTTAGCTCCAAATTAAGTGTGCCCTAACAAAAAATTATAATACTATTTTTTGCAGGAAAGAACAGACTTTGAATCAAGAGCCACCAARAACATGTATACAACATTACTAGACAATGAAGGCTCATTTGTCAAGGTCAGAGAAAAATTTGATATAAATTATGGAACTTGTAATGAGTAACACTTATTCTTGTTACTGGAATACTCTCTAAGTTGCACCCCTATTATAAATGCTTCATTTGTGGGTAGAATCAACAAAATATTTCGGGTTGAGTGTTGTACATAGATAATGTAGTGGTTTTGTGTATGACTCACAGAAGAGCTCTTTTGTGGAGTGTGATGATTGTAAAATATATTACTTTGAAAATATATTTGTAGGGTTTTTTTCTAAATAATGCAGTTATCATAAATGCAAGCCAATTAAAGTTTTATAAGGGTCACAAATAATTTTTTCCCCCCTGAACTTTTCAGTCCCATATTTYCTGCAAAACAAACCTCAATAGACTGTTTTARCTTGGRCACAATGTTTTCCCATTTCAGACCACATGTCTTTCCCTAGAGTGTACAAGTAATTCTTTGTTTAAATCGTTGCACATGAGAATAAGACATATGARTATCGGCAACAATCAAACAAAGAATCTTACTCTATACACTACTATAAGAAATGACATGTGATTTGAAATGGGAAAACATTACGCCCAAGGTAAAGAGGTCTATTGATTGAACACCAGACTAACCAAGGGCATAGACCTTATTCGTGGTGTGACAATGTTTTCCCAATTCAACGTGACAAACCTCTTGGGGTATGAAGAGCTATTGTTTTGAAACTCGTCGGGATATCATCGTTATTCCTTTTGTATCCTTTGGGACACTCATGAATTTTTCGAAGAGTAAAAACAAAAGAATATGAATCCCCTGGAGGTTCATCACGCTGAATTGGGAAAACATTGTCACACCACGAATAAGATCTATTGAGGGTGATTTCACTTTTAAATATTAGACCTGGCACCTGTGTGTATACAAACACAATAAAACAATTATTGAATTTGKYGTTCACATATCATATATTATTTAGATCAATTGGCAGTTTTATCTCTGCTAATTATTGGCTTTGGCAAACAGAACACAGTATTGGTCTTAATGGTTCATGATATACCATGCTCAACCTTATACTATTATTATAAAAACATTATTAACACCTTATGATGTGACTTATTAATATTTCAGGATGTTCAACGATACCTTGACCACAAGACCTTCCTGGACAAAAGAAAGAAACAAATGCTTCATAAAAAATGGAGTGAACGTGTGTTTATACCAATCCAGGTACCTACAAAACTCTTTTAAGTATTATTTACTCTTAAAAAACTCATTCATAATTCATGAAGGAAACACAATAGAAATCATGACCATGAAGGAGGTTTTATATCTGATATAGATTTGTCTTCATTTGCATAAACTTTGATACTTAGATTTTCTCTATCAAACTTGGTTTATTTTTTAAAGAATTATGTACAATTTGAGAACATACATCATGAGTTTTTTAAGCYGTTTAATAAACTTGCAGATCGTGTTTAATCGGGTCTAAARCCACTCGGCTGCGCCTTGTGTTTTATACCYGATAAAACACTACTGCTCGTTTATTAAACAGTACTTCAAACTTTGTGGWGTTTATATATAATGGCCTATAACTAGCTTGTTGAATTTTTTACTGATTTTTTATGTATGTATTTTTCTTAAGCACCAAATTGATAATGAAATGAATGGACAAAACTACAAGAATTTAGATAAAAGAAAACGACAATTGCATAAAGAATATTTAGATTACAGTAATAAGAAGGTAAGATATGAAATATAAAAGTGTTTTATTTTGTTTGTGTAGTTCCAAAAATTATCCATTCCCCCTCCCCCACGGAGGAATTTTTTAAGACACACCCCTACCCCC